CCCTGGGTAGAGCGCCATTGTGTCTTCATAGCTCACAGCAACCTCAGTCTCTTGGGCTCAAGCAATCTTCTTGCCTCAGCATCCAGAGTGGCTGGGATTATAGGCACCTGCCAGGATGGCCAGCTAGTTTTTCTTTTTTTTTTATGCAGTTTTTGGTTAGGGTCAGGTTTGAACCCACCACCTCTGGTATACGGGGCCGGTGCCCTACTCCTTGAGCCACAGGTGCCACCCAAGTTTTTCTAATTTTAGGAGCAACCAGTCTCACTCTTACCCAGGCTGGTCTCAAACTTTTGAGCTCAAGCCATCCACCTGCCTTAGCCTTGCAGGGTGCTAGGATTATAGGCATGAGCCACTGTGCCCACCTGACAAGGAAGTCTATTAAAGGAGGTCCTCTTTACAAAAGGATAAATGACTACAAACATCCAGAGGCTCCCCAGGTGTAGGGCACAGAAAAAAAGGTCAAGTAGTGTTCATACTCTTTGTGGCCAGGCTGAGATTCATTTCTTTGAGAGCCCTTTCTCATAGACTTGTTTTAAAAACAAAGGTAGTTTTAACTACCTTTATTCCCCAAATTTCAGCATTCATATTTGAAACAAATATGAAATTCATCTGGGCTTAGTTTTCACAATAATAGTAATATTATATTTGATGAATGTATTATATCAAAACCCAAATGGCACAGGAAAAAAAGGGGGGTTGGATTCACACAATCATTAGAACTGTTTAACTTGGGATCATATCCACATTGACAGAGTCTCTGAAAAATTACATCATGGTGCTTATTCAGTACTATTATTACTATTATGAGATTTTCTGTGGATGGAAGGATGGTGGTAGGGGCTGTGATTCTGCCCTTTCCTTTGGGGTTGATTGAAATGAAACATATTATGTTTTGTAGAGGAATAAAGGCCTAAGCTAGTATTGGGTCTTCCCAGACTATCCCCAGCACATACATTCTCCCCAAACTCCCCCTCTGGATGAGGACAATGAAATGCTCCTTTAGTCTATAGCATGAAAGGCTGCTTTCTTATAGGAAGTGCATGCTTCAGGATCAAATTTTACTAGGAGCAGTTAGTGCTCCAGGCAGTAAATCTGTCAGAGGCCCTAATTACAGTACAGAGAAGCCAATCGTAATTACAAACGCCCAGGAGCCTGTAAACCCTACCCAGGTTCCCAGTCACACTCCTGGAACTGGTTCCCATACCAACCACATACCATTTTCAGATTGCCACCAAATCTTAAGGCGGTTTGGAGCAAATGTAGTGACCACATTTTCAATGAGATGGCTGTCAGGATTGAGGGTCTCATGATAAGGATCTTGGGAATTACATATGAAGCATTTTTTGTCCTCCTGAAAATAAAGTTAGTTTCATGAGTCTAGAAAGCAATTTCATCAAAAATTTTTGTTTACATTTAAAAACCCTACACAACATAAAAATCAAACTGACTAGCTTCAGGAAAAATGAATGTGTGAAAATTACTTAAACGACTTATCTTCCACTTTTAATTTACTGAGTCTAAAATATGCCTGGTAATAATTTCCTTCTTTCTTACAAATGCAAGGTCAAAAGTAAAAGAAGGCATTTTTTCCACAACCTATTGATGTAATCAAATCAAATTCCTAGGCTTAAACCTTTATCTCAATAAATAGCTAGAGACGCTTACTCTAAAGTTTAAAAGGCAGACGAGGAATTAGAGAATTTTTGCTGACATCAAGCAAACTGAAAATGAAAGGAAAAAATACAATTCTTTTGGCTTGTGTTTCTAAAACCTAAATAAGGCAGAAACCAAGTATTAGGCAGAAGCATTTAGAGATGCTTTGGGAACTCCAGAACAAGATTTCTTGGTTTCGGGAGGCGCCTGTGGCTCGGTGAGTAGGGCGCCAGCCCCACATACCGAGGGTGGCGGGTTCAAACCCAGCCCCGGCCAAACTGCAACAAAAAATAGCCGGACGTTGTGGCGGACGCCTGTAGTCCCAGCTACTTGGGAGGCTGAGGCAGAAGAATCGCCTAAGCCCAGGAGTTGGAGGTTGCTGGAGCGACTCCGCTGCACTCTACCGAGGGCGAAAAAGTAAGACTCTGTCTCTACAAAAAAAAAAAAAAGATTTCTTGGTTTCTATTCTGCCCATGCAGTGAATCCATGTGGTGGCATGTAGGCTCACGGGTTATTTCTGGAGAATGGGTTACCAGGCTGTCCTGCCATGTTGAGACCACTATAACCTGGGGCCAATTCAAAGAACCCCAATATGCACATGAACAAGAATGAAGACAGAGTCAGGGTAGGGAACCGGCAGTCTTCTGATTTCTAGATTGTTCTTTGTTAAACACCAAAGGGAGCAAGAAAAGCTTCATCCTTCTCTGCTGCTCCTCTTTTAATAAAAGAATTTGTTCTGTAATATTTGGCTTCAGTCGAAATGTGTCATGTAAGGACCTGGATGGGCACACGATCCCTACCCCTGGTAGGTTTTAGAGAAACTTTTAATTTCTCACATTTTCTTTCTTCTAAAATGGGAGCCACAGACGCCAGGCAGTTCTGAGGTCTCTACATTCTGTGCACTCCCTCGTGGCAAATCATAAACCACACAGTTTAACACTTCCCTTTTCCGCAAGGAGCTCTGCTCTGTACCAAAATTTTTTGAAAGGTACATTATCCTTAAGTCTGAAAATGATCCTAAGACTTAAATATATAGAAACCCATATACAAGATGGCCATAAAGTTCGTGTGCAATGGCCACTCTGTATATATCTTACAAATGGCATTTGATCAAGGCTGCTTGCTACTAAGGAAAAAATCAAGTGACTATCCTTTTATATTTGTATATAGTTAGTTACCACCTTCTTCACAAAATGATTTGGGAGACTAGCAAGGTGCACTAAGTAAGATACAGAGATCAAAAGTTAAGGATGCACTGGGACCTGGAGAGAATACGCTTCCTGCCTCGGTTTTTATACCACTAAATATGTGAGAAAAGAGCATGTCCCGTCCTTTGTTTAGGCTCTGTTACCTATGAAAGGCACTCTACGATTTCATGCCTAATTGTATCAACCAGAGGGTCTGGCTCCAGTTGCTTTTAAGACAAGTATTCCTATTCTCATTTTGGTCAAAGCTGATTTCAGAATATGGTGATTCATTTACAGGATGTCCTGGCCTCTCAAGTAAATGTTAGCACAATATTTTAGGCAAAATTTAAATGCTAATATAATATCAACTGCTTTCGTTAACTTGTAGTCAAGGAAACTAGTATTGGAGAACAATTGCCAGAACTTAAAAAAAAAAAGTTTAATTATAGTCTCCCCTCTAATCAGGAGGAAGCAGTCTAGACATCTCTGTATAAACCTGGAAGCACATGAGTGGAATCCACTTTACCACATTCCTTCAGTTTAATTTATTAGGTCTCCAGAAGAGACTTTCTGCTTTGTAAAAGGGACTCCATCCTGAGGCGTCTGCTGTGCTACACACTACACAGTGTACTTCTGAAGGGCAGTCACACAGGTGGGTGGACTGACCTCACACCAGGCGATTAGCTTGGAACTTGCACTGCACGTGAGACTGAAGACCAGAGATAGCAGCTTTTCAGAAATCAAGGAAGAGGATCTTCATTCTGGATAGTTTACACTAATTTCTTTTAAAATTAGTTCTGGCTGTGTATAAACATGACCTCTGAAAACTAAAATCTGGGTCCACTTTTAGAAACATGTAATACCCTGAAATTTCATTTTGGTCTTCCTCTATCAGGGTACCCATGGCAACCAGGGCATTTTGAAAAAGAAAACATCTGATCCTGATATTACCTAATGGAGCTATTTGGGAACATGGGAACAGCACCCAGTGAGGAGAGGAAAACGGGTGCATTCTGTGATTAGAATCACCTTCCTTGTGGGGTGTCTGTCAGTGCTAGAATATCCTTTACCCAAGAGAAAGCATGGGAAAACCCAAGACCACTGCTCAGTTCGTAGAGAAGAGGATAAACCACCTAACCCACCTTGAATACACATTTCCAAAGAGGAAGGAATTTTATAAGTGAGGACTTTTAGAGACCCCAGGCCAAGGCAAGGGCCAGGTCTGTCTGCAGCCCTGCCTTTCCACACTGGCCATGCGGGCAGAGGTGACAGAGGTGACGGCAGGAAATGTTTGGCGGATGCAACTGTGCAAACTGACATGGGGCAAGCTACCAACCTAATCCGGGACTCCTCGGCTGCTGCGCTTCCTATCTGGACTGCAGGCAGGATGCAGAGTCCCCTGGGCCTCCCTTTCAGTCTGGACTGGAGGCGGCGCTAGCAGAGCCTGAACTCAGCCCTCCAATCTCACCTGTAGGTGGCTGACGATACAGTAGGGCTCGGGTTTGTGCAGCCCACACGTCGAGGTCACCGAAAGTCTCTGTGCTCTGCCTATGAGAAGGTCGCCGGTGGCTGGGTAGCAGCTGCCTTCCGCGCAGCCATAGCTGAACTCCGGTTCTTGAGCGCGCACTCCGGCTCCGCACAGGGCTGCGGGAAAGGGCAGGCGACAGGGTGGGGGTGGGGCCCAAGCAAAAGAAACAGCGGAGGCAGGGACGGAAGAAAGTAGAATATACAGAAAAGACAAAATGGAGAGATTATCGAAAGAGAAGCTGGGAGAACAGGGACGAGAAAGACGCGGAGAGTCTCAGACTCGTCATCAGGTTCGCGCAGCAGCTGAGCGCATCCTTCTCGGGAAACCCACCACCGCTCGCGTCACCCTCATCTGCCCGGGAGTTGCATCCACAAAAGGTGGATGTGCAGACCGTCCCCTTCGACACGCCCGGGGCCGGGCACAGGGAGCCTGGCCCCCAAACGCTGCACACCCACGCGCGTGGGAACCCGCGTGCACGCGGCAGCCGGCGCATCCTCGGTGTCAGAGTGCGAGGGTGCTCGTGGAAATCTGTGCGCAGGGAGGAAAGCGTGTGCGTGTACGCGCCAGGGTCGCCGGCGCTTCGCTGTAGATGACGTTTCCCCGGGTAAGGGGGCCAGTGGACAGTCCCTGCGGCTCTGGAGTGGCTTCGCCATTCCAGGGAAGCGCCGGCTCCAGCTGTTTCTGGTGCCATCCGGAGACAAATGGGAATGGTTAATTAAAGCCACATGTTCCCAATCTGTTGCCAGGACGAAGCCTGCGCTCGGGCTCGGGCACTTTCGGGGGAAATTGGTTCTTAGGGAGCCCTCCATCCCAGGGAGCCTGCTCTCTGCAGTGGGGAAACCCAGCGTGAACCAGCCTAGGGTGCCCGCAGGAGCCAGAGCTCTCGGCGCAGAGCCCGGGGGATGTGGGTCCGCGGCGCTCCGCGTGCGCGGTCTCCAGCCACCGCCGAGGCAAGGGTGGTGGCGTTTAATCTCAGGGGCGTCCTTTCCAACCAGTCCCTCTCCGGAACCCCCAGGCCCCCTGGAAGGTGGGGCTCCCAGTGGCTTTGGGGTTTTCTTCCCCCATGCCCCAGTCTGACCCCCTCCCCGCCGCCGTTTCCCTGGAATTACCTAAGAAACTGAAAGCGAACACCTGGAGCAGCCCCATGGCCGGTCCCCGCAGCCAAGGGGACACAGCAGAGGAAGGGGAGAAGACGCCCGGCGCACCGCCTGCCCTTTCTTCCCGTCTTCCTTTCTGGAGAGGTAGAAAGAAAAAAGGCAAATGTTCAGAGAGGGGAGAGGGGCCCTTTCATTTCCTGTCGCTCCCACGGAAGCGGGGGATGGGCTGGGAAGGGGAAAAAATCGCGCAGCCACTTTGTTCCCTCACCCGGCGAGGCGAGCGAGCGCTCTCCGCGCTCCTGGCAGCCGCGGAGCCCAAAGAAGGGAATTAGAAAGTTTAGCCTTGGGAGGAACCGAGGGAGGCGCCTCTGCTCATGCGCACACGGAGCGCAGGGCCGAGGGGGCGGGCGGCGGCGACTCGCTGCCGGGGGGCGAGGGCCAGGTCCCACCGCCCCGGGGGCCTCTTTTGTTTTAAGACCGCGTCTGCGGTGACCTCTGGGTCGTGGCTCTTGCAGGTGCCCTAGAGGGCCCGCGGGTCCGCCAGTGGCTGCGCGTCCCCAGAGCCGCGCGCGGAGGGGCCGTCGGCGCGGGGGGCGGGATGCGCTGGGGCTGGTCTCCGTAGGTGTTTGGGTCGCCGAGCTGGGGGGTGGGGGTTGGCCGGGACCTACCGCGGACTCGTGCATTTACATTCGTAAGACGTGAGTCACCGAAAGGTGCTCAAGGCTACACACTCCGGCATCGAGCGCTCGGGGAAGGAGGATTAACCCTTTAGAAAGAGGGTCGACCTGTGGCGTTTGTTCTTCGGAAAGTGAACCGCGCCCCCAGTATCAGGGGGCTTGGGGTGGGCGTGACACGTGCAGCATCTTCCTACGAAGGAGGGAAACCGCCGTTCATGCGCATTCTTTGCTCACTTTTACTCAGGACCTACCTATGGCCCCTGCTACCCGGGTGGTCATGGCATTGAATTACACACATAGTTCTGTGTTTTTTGTTTTAAATCGACTTCCTACCTGAATCTAGAAGATAGCTTTATTTCGGTAATTTCTCGAATGACACCATTGTTAGTGACTCCCATTTCCACCTCACCGTGGAAGTGTTGACACGGCCACCAAGCTGGAGATCGCTGGTGGGGCGCAGTTCTCCACAAAGCTCAATCTCAGCAATTCTCCACTGTATGCAAATGAGGTGGGGAGAAGGCCTCTAATGAAGTGTCTCTAACAGCAAGTGTGTGACCTGGCCGGTTAAATAACAGCTCACCATCTGGGGGGTGGAAAGGGAAAAGAGGTTGGTGACCAGATCCCACCAGCCTCTCTGAATTAGCCCAATTCTGCTGCTCTTAGCAATGGATGGAGGCACAGCCTGAGATTCTTTAGTCGTCCTGTGGGCAAATGTGCTGGGAGTAAGGGGAACATAGTTCTGTTAGGAGACCTTTCTTACTTTCCAATCTAACTGGTCAGTTTTTAACTTAGCAGCAATGAAATAGGACCCGGGGAAGTTTAATCATTAGACCACAGAGTAAGCTGCTTTACCAGTTTATACACGTCCCCTGGACCGAGGGAGGTGGGAGCCTCCTGTCTTGATGAGGTATTAATTATTCACTGAATCAGCACTGGCCCTGCTGCAGGGGAGATTTTGTCTCTCCTGATACTTAGGGTCCTCCGTGCTGTCTGGGTTGGGAAAGCCTGTGCTGTTGTGAGGATCTAGCATTGAAATGGAGAGTCTTCAGAGCTTAATTAAAGAAAATAGTATATGAAAACACCCATGTACCCCATGATTGCATTAATGTGCACAGCTATCGTTTAATTAAAAAAAGAAAAATAGTAAAAGCCAAATCTCTTTTCACCTTATTGAGCTTTTAATACCCTGGGCCAAAGTTTCATATTACAAGTTTTCATCCATATACATGGCCAGCATCTGTCTGCTCTGACTCAAGACTGGCCTCTGCTCTCACAGAGGCTGAGCCCTCCTAGCTACCTGTCTGTCTGGTCCCCATCCTCTCCCCTTGCAAGGGGTCCTTCACCCTCAAGCCTGCCTGCTCTCCTGCTCACCTCTCTTAGTAGCAAATTCAACACTACTGAGAGAATTAGAGGTTTTAAAAATGTTGCCTGTGCATGTGTGTATGGGGGAGTATATCCCTCGCTTTCTGACCACACCATCTATGAGTCTGTCTCCTTCCATTCCCACATTTGTCTTTTGTATTTTCCCCTTGAAGTATCTACTTCTCTCATCTACTGCAATCAATGCCCTCACATACAAACCTGCTTGATTTCCTCCCATCTTAAATAAAAACAGGTCTTCCCCTTATGCTACACACCCTCTACTTTATTCCCTTCCTCTCCTGAGTTCCTAGTTCAGGTTCTGGAAAGCACAGTTTGGGCTCACATTCTCTGCTTTCTGCTTCACCTCTTTGCACTATGTTTTCTAACTTCCCAGTTCTTGATAATCTCCATTGACTTTCTAATGGCCAAATGCAAAGGACATTTTCCTCCTATGATCTTATTTGAATCTCTGTAGCATAAGGTTCAGATGATCTCACCCTGCTTGAGACTCCTTGCTCCTTGGCTTCCAGGACACAATGCCAAAATTTTCCTGCAGGACTTTGCCCCTCTTCCGTTTATTTCTCCTGCCCTTCTCTGATGCCTTAAACATCAGTGTGCTAAAAGATTGTCTTCTTGTCCCTCTGCACACTCTTGTCCACATTCAGGAGCTCCATGACTTGATCTTGGTGTCTCCACACCAATCTATAGCTCTGGCTTGTACTTTGCTCTGAATTTATGTCCACTTTCTAACAGGCCATTGAATAGCCTACCTTGATGGCCTATGAAATTCATGTGTTGCAAAATGAAACTCATCTTTCTACCCACCCCACATTTCACAAAATATCTTTTTGTTTCTCGTGTCATTTATTGGCCCTGTGTTCCAACCCTTAGCTTGACAGAAACCTAGGAATAAGACTGGCTACATGATTAGCAGGACACAAATGTAGAGCCCTTCTTTTAATGTAAAGACAATGACAGAGTGTGCCCCAAATCTAGCATGGGGCTTCCTGGGTGGGGGTGGGGGTGGGGTGGCTGTGTGACTGCGACAGTCACACGCGCATGAAGCCAACCCCGCCTGGGAATCATGGACATTCACCTCCTTCCCTTCCCTATAACCAGGTCCTATTTGTAGTTTCCTAGCAACTAGCTGTCATGTCTCCTTGCTCCAGCCTCATTGCCTTGCCTTGGCACCTGGCCTCTCCTCACATCTGGCTGAATGCCTGCAGCAGCTCCTGGGCGGGTGTTCCTACTTGGATTCTCTTCTCTTCAGTCTAATCCTCCTAGAAGAATTTCTTTTTTAAGGCACAACCCTGAGCATGTCATTCCCTTGTTCAAAAACCGTCAGTGGCTTCCCTCTGCTCTTTCCCCATACGTGACACACTTTATACCTTCATGACTTTCTGCTATGTGAGCCCTCCTTGACCTTGTCCATTTAGTGAACTCTGCATCTTTGAAGACGCCACTGAAACATTTCATTTTCTTTGTGGGCCTTTCCTGCAGCACCCTGTAAAAGCCTGTTACAGCATATATGACATAATGCCATAACTATTTGTTTATGTCCTTATCTCCCAATAGACTGTGTGGGAAGGATTGTGTAACATTCATTTTTGCATTAACATTGTCTAGCACAACATGGGGCACATTACAGGCGCTCAGTAAATGTTTCTTGAGTAAAAGACTAGTCTCCATGTTTTCAAAACTTCCTTAAATCTTAATTGCCCACTTTCTACCTTAATATGAATTTCTTTCAAGTTAAGGTGAAAAAGAAATACCACCACTCGACTTGAGTTTATTTTAGGAATACTTTGCACTCAGGAACAAATTCTTCTTGTCTATTATATTCCATACAATTTCTGTTGATTTCTGAAAATGTTATGTTTAGGAGGAATAAATCTCTTTTGTTGGTAAGCCTGTCCATGGACTCACTGGCTGATGACACAGCCCTCTCTTGTCCTTACTTGGCACTGCCTATTTCAGCATAGGGTGGTCTTTCCTGGAGAGTGCTACAAGGTTTTGAGTGACAGATGGGATCGCAAATTGTTGGCTGTTCCATCTCAAAGAATGCATGACAGTTTGTCTCCCTTAAGGCATTTATTATTTTTGTTTGAAGAAAAAAAAACCAAGAACCATTGTCAAGGTCACCTTCACTTTCACCTAGTCTTAGAATGCCACTTATCTGTCTCATTTTAAATCCTGATTGACAGTGAAACAACAGGTTATTACATTCTAGACTTTGATTGTTAGATCCTGAAACCATTTACATAACATTCTTATGAAAAATGCTAGATTTTTGCTGTTTTAAAAATCAGATTCAAGTGTATTCTGTGAGATTCAAGATTCATATAGGAAGGTAAAGTCAATGACCAGTAACGTTCAGGATAAATGCCATACAGTATTCTGTACGTATCTCTTTTTTAATATGTAGAAGAGTAAACTGTAGTTCTGTTTTAATGTCCTTGCCCCCAGGAGCTCTTTGAGGGCAGAGACTGTATTTTATTAGACTTCTTGTTTCCATCAGGTAGCAGAGTTTCTGTTATAGATACTCAATATCTACTTGGATGAATAAGTGAAATTGAATGAACTTTCTTTATAACTGTTAGGGAAACTCTTAGAGGTCATTATTGCTACCTTCTGTAATATGGAAACAATCAGATCCTGAATCTGGCAGGTAGTCCAGGCACTTCGGGTCTCAGACCATATAATACAAACTGTTATTTGGTCTCGTGTTCACATCCATTCTCCCTTCAACTGGTAACATCACTTGGATTCCCTTACTTAGAGGGACTGGTCTTCTCATATTTCAGCCACGAAACTTGGTTGAGGTTAATCCCTCCATGAACTCTAGGCTATTCCCTGCGTTTCCACTTCCCTGTCTCCAGTGACTGGTTCGGAGATGGGTTATGCAAATCAAATTTTCCAGTTAGGATGACTTTGGGATTTCTGTTGGAATTAACCTGGGAAAAAACTCTTTCCCCCTGGACTTGGAATTATGTGATGTCATCCTAGAGCTGGTAGAAGCTGCTTGAGACTGGAGCCAACACACAAGAAAAGCAAAACCAAGGGAAAAAGAACGG